TGGAGGTTGCTGTGAGCTGTGATGCCATGGCACTCTACCCAGGGTGACAAAGTGAGACTCTGTCTCTAAAAAAAAAAAAAAAAAAAAAGCCAAGACTTTTTCAGACATACAAAAGCTGAAAGAATTTACCTTTAACAGATGTACAATAGAAGAAATATTAAATGATGTCTTTCAGGCTGAAGGAACATAACAGCAGACGACAAATGATCTACCCAAAAAGTGAAGAACATTGCAAATGGTATTTAATGTAAATATACTTTTCCATTTATTTTTATTTAGTTTTTATTTTTTTGAGACAGAGTCTCACTTTGTCACCCTCAGTGGAGTGCTGTGACGTCATAGCTCACCGCAACCTCAAACTCTTAGGCTCAAGCAATTCTCTTGCCTCAGCCTCCTGAGTAGCTCGGACTATAGGCATCTGCTACAACACCTGGCTATTTTAAGAGGCGGGATCTTGCTCTTACCCAGTCTGGTGTTGCATCTGTGAGCTCAGGCAATCCACCTGCCTCAGCTTCCTAGAGTGCTAGGATTACAGGCCTGAGCCACAGGCCTCCTTTATTTTTATAGTATCTTTAAAATTGGTTTAAAAGAAAAATAGTAACACTGTATTGTGCAATCTGAAACATACACATGAGTAAATAAAATACATGACAACAACAGTATGAAGGCTAGGACAGGGGAAATAGAAGTATGCTATTGCAAGGTTCTTACACTATGCCTTGAGTGTTAGAAAGTTGGCCCTCCATATCCATAAAAGTTTCATATGCCAATTCAACCAACCACAGATTGTAAGCCTCAGATAACAAGGGCTGGCTGTACTGTGCCATTTCCTATAAGGTACTTGAGTATCTGTCCACTTTGGTATCCATGGGAGTACTGGAACCAATTGCCTGTGGATACAGAGGGCCAACTGTAATATTACATGAAAACAGACTGTCACAAGTTGAAGATACATACTATAGTATAAACCCTAAGACAAATGATTAAAAAAAAAGTCTAGCTGTTATGCCAATAAAGGAGGTAAGACGGAATCATAAACACTTTTCAGTTATTCCAAAGAAGACAGAAAAGAAGAACAAGAAAACAACATATGGTGCCAGCCACATACATCTGAACTGGTGGGTTTGAATCCAGCCTGGGGCCCACCAAACAACAATGACAGCTGCCACCAAAAAATAACCGGGCGTTGTGGCAGGTGCCTATAGTCCCAGCTACTTGGGAGACAGAGGCAGGAGAATCGCTTCAGCCCAGGAGTTGGAGGTTGCTGTGAGCTGTGATGCAAGAGCACTCTACCCAGGGGGACAGTTTGAGGCTCTGTCTCAAAAAAAAAAAAAAAGTTCCATTTTTATAGTGTTGGTATCTAATAAACTAGTTTTTAATAAACTAAGTATTACGGAACAAGACATGCACAACAAGTGAAATCCATATTGAAATGTGAATAGACTGTAACCATAATGTTTTTATACTCAGATAATCTCTGAGTCATGAATGCTAATTATTGCCACCAAACTCAATAACTACTGGGAGTGAGCTATTTGTATGAAGTTCCCAAATAGTTATAGCAGAGACTTGCTGGAAATACTGTTTGCTTGTATTGCCTTTAACTAGGAAAAGAAAATGTAAAAACAGAGCCAGGGTAGATAGTATACTATTTTTTTTTCTTTTTTTTGAGACAGAGCCTTAAGCTGTCCCCCTGGGTAGAGTGCCCTAGCATCACAGCTCACAGCAACTTCCAACTCCTGGGCTCAAGCGAGTCTCCTGCCTCAGCATCCCAAGTAGCTGGGACCACAGGTGCCCGCCATAATGCCCAGCTATTTTTTGGTTGCAGCCATCATGTTGTTTCAACAACATTGTTGCCTGGCCTGGATTCAAACCCGCCACCTTAGGTGTATGTGGCTGGCGCCTTAGCCACCTGAGCCACAGGCGCCAAGCCAGATAGTACACTATTAAAAGTCTTACCTTCCTACCCTCCAAATTTCTGATATCCTTTGAAAAAATTTTTTAACAGCATGAACCCCTAACTTTTTAAATCTGATTTGTTCACTGTTAAGCCTCAGAGAATCAAAGGGCAGCTAAGGTGGGGGAAGGTGGTGTCTCAAGCCTTTCAGAGTTAAGGATCTCCAGGGCTCCCCCAGTCCAATGCTTGTCCTCTGCCCTGAGCCTCGGAAGAAAGGTGGGAGGGAAGGAAGAGGTGGCTCTTTGGGGTAGGGGGCAGCTACTGGAGATTTCCTTTTGCTCAGCTCTATTCTTTTCTCCCTCAGTGTGCTGAATAGCAGACATCTTGGAAATTTAGAGGGAAGAAAGCCTCTGGTACAGAGCCAAGAAACAAGAACGAGCTGGCTGCTTCCTCAGCTGGCAGTCAGGTCCTATCTGGTAAATTCTGGCCCAACAAATGCAGCCATAAAGCATACTGTTATGTCTCATTCTCAGGCAGACTTATGAAATTTTTTGTAAGCATTAAAGAGTACTTAGCAGAGTCAAGGAAGACAGAACAATCCTAACTCAGTAAATACATTAAAATTCATTGGTTAAAATTTGCTGAAATTCTTTTCCCTGACAGATGTTGGGGGGGTGGTATAATTCTAAGAAGTATTTTAATCCTGAGATCTTAGGTTTTCTATTTAAAACAAAGGGAAAATGAATGTCTTCCAGCAAGATAGTTAATCTTCTTTTTTTTTTTTTTGAGACAGAGCCTCAAGCTGTCCCCCTGGGTAGAGTGCCGTGGCATCAAAGCTCACAGCAACCTCCAACTCCTGGGCTCAAGCAAGTCTCCTGCCTCCGCCTCCCAAGTAGCTGGGACCACAGGTGCCTGCCACAACGTCCGGCTATTTTTTGGTTGAGTTAATCTTCTTTGCCTTAGTTTTCTCATCTAGATAGGAGCATAATAATGACCTCTACTTCTCAGGACTACAGTGTGGATTATATGAGCTAATCAAGCAAATTTCTTAGACTACTGCCTGATAGATAGTAGATACTCATATTAGCTATGAGTATTATTCTAAAAAAAGGGTAGACTGAAGTGAAAGAAGCCAAACACAAAAGAATACATCTGCCTGAGTGCATTTATATGAAATTCTGGAAAATGCAAACTAATCTATAGTGACAGAAGCAGATCAGTGGATACCAGGTGCTTGGGGATGAAGTTGGGGGGGATTAACTGCAAAGTGGCATGGAGGAACTTTTGGGAGTGAACATGGAAAAGCTGCTTTCCCTCTTTATACTCCCATTCGCTCTCAACACTTCACTTCTAACACCAGATGTGTGGGCTTTTTTCCCTACACATCAATTCTCCTGCAGACACCAACTGGGTGTCCCCCTATTCAATTTAATTCTGACACTATCTCTCTGGAGTTAGTGTCTCAGCCCCACCAGACTGCCTCCCACTTCAGATGCCAATCACAAGCGCTGTTACCTGCAACTTCTGCCTGACTTGGCTACAGATAGGAGATGACCACAGCCCCCTTCTCAGGTTTAATTAATTTGCTAGAGTGGCTTACAGAATAAACAGGGAAGCATGTTTACCAGTTTACTATATAAATAAAGAATATGATAAAAGATAGAGATGAAGAAATACATAAGATGGAGTGTGGAAGGGTCCTGGGCACAGAAGCTTCTGTCCTTATGGAGTTGGGAGTATGCCACCCTCCTGAGACGTGGATGTGTTTACCAACCTGGAAGGTCTCTGAACCCTGAAGTTCAGAGATTTTTATGAATGGCTTTATCTGAGGCATTACCGATTATTAACTTAAACTCTTCTAATCCTGGAGTTTGGGGAGTGGGACTGAAAGTTCTGAGCTTCCAATTATGGCTTGGTTTTTGTGGAGACCCCATGCAGGAGCCATCAAAAATCAACTCATTAGCACAAAAGATGCTATCACCCAGGAAGTTCCATGGGATTAGGAACGTTGAGCAAGATGCTAGAGTGAAAGACCAAATATTAGAACAAAAGACTCAAATACCACCTCTATCGGTCAGGAAATTACAAGGTGCCTGGAATGGGGGCAGAGATAAAAGATATATTTCTTATTGTATCACAAATATCACAGGGAATGATAGAGATGCTTTACTTTTCAAAATTTCATTTCTTTATTTTCTGAAGTGGAGTTTTGCTCTGTTGCCTGCTTTAGAGTACAGTGGTGTGATCAGAGCTCACTGTGACCTCAAACTCCTGGGCTTAAGTGATCCTCCTGCCTCAGCCTACCAAGTAGCTGGGACTACAGGTGTGCACCAGCATGCTGGCTACTTAACAAAAAATTTTTTTTTGGTAGAGATTGGGGTCTTGCTGTGTTGGCCAGGCTAGTCTCAAACGCCTGCTCAAGTAATCATCCTGCTTGGGCCTCCCAAAGTGCTAAGATTACAAACATGAGCAACCATGCCTCACTTCAGAAATGTTTTAAATCTTGATTGTGGCAGTGGTTACCCAGCAGTATACATTTTTGGAAATATAAAACCAATATAGGGCAGTGCCTGTGGCTCAGTGGGTACGGCACTGGTCCCATATACCCAGGGTAGCAGGTTCAAACCTGGCGCTGGCCAAACTGCAACAAAAAAATAGCCGGCTATTTTTGTGGGTGCCTGTAGTCTCAGCAACTTGGGAGGCTGAGGCAAGAGAATCACCTAAGCCCAGGAGTTCAAGGTTGTTGTGAGCTGTGTGTGATGCCGCAGCACTTTACCCAGGGTGATAAAGTGAGGCTCTGTCTCCACAAAAACAAACAAACAAACAACCCCAAACCAACATAGTTTATGATATGCAAAGTAATCTACTTCCAATTTCCTTGTTGGTACTGGAATTCTAGGACGTAGGTGAAGGGGAAATGGATGCAAACTTTTTTTTTTTTTTTTGAGACAGTCTCACTTTGTTGCCCTGAGTAGAGTGTGGCCTCATAGCTCACAGCAACCTCAGACTCTTGGGCTCAGATGATTCTCTTACCTCAGATGCAAACACTCTTAAAGTAACTCAATCAACAGCCAGGAAGAGAAAAATATTACTTCTTTTTAGCACATTTAGTTGTACCACAAAGCTGATTATATTCACTGACACTTAGAAAGATTTTATTTGTTCAGGGGTGGAGATGGGTGAGGGCTTGACCTGACTTCTTGTTTACTAGCTGTAGTTGAAGCACAAATTTACCTACCGGCGTTGAACTCGGGATCATCTTCCAGGGTGACCACAGCTCCTTCCACGGCATCGACCGCGCTCCCGCCCTGCTTGAGGATGTTGTAACCCACCGTGGCGGCTTTGCTGACGCCCTGGCGCACTCGCTCCTTCCGGTCCTTGGAGATGCTGCTGGCTCCGCCACCGTGGACCACGACGACCAGACTCATGTCAACGGACCCTGGCCATCAGCAAGATGAAAACGTCATTCCAAATGTCTCCGAGAAAACCTCACGGACATAATCTCCTCTGGAGACACCGCGGGGACAATGTCTAGTTTCTATTTCAGGAGGCTGAGTTTACAGTCTCAGGAAATTTCTTGAGGCCCCTCTGGGGTGGGTGGGAGGAGGGGCAGCTCGGTTTGCATTAGGCACAAAAAGCCCAGTGCGCCCGGGTCCGCTCCGCCCTGGCCTAGGGTACCAGCCGGCTCGGAGCGGAGAGGTCTCTGGTGCCCAGAGCCTGCGCCCCGTCATGGGCTGACATCTGGTCTCAGTTTCTCCAGAGAAGCCCAGACCCCATCCCAAGCTGGGCCAGCGGCCGCCAGCGATCGGCGCCGGGGCCAGAGCTCCCACTCCTTCCCCCGGCTCTACGTCGAGCCTCGGTTTCCCCGGGGATCTGTTCCGTGCGCCCACTCCCGCCGAGAGGCCTGGGACCACCTGAGTGCTGGGCCCGGTCAGCGCCCTCCAGCCTCGAACCCACAGCACTGAGGGAGGGCGCTTCCCGCCTTCGGTAAAGTGGACATTTTCCTTCGTTTCGGTCCCCATCCCCGTGTCCCGAGAGGCTGCTCCGGCAGGGCCGCCGGCTTACCGAGGAGACCGTGAGGGGGCGAACGCCGAGGCCTCAGGCTGGCCAGAGCCACCCGGCGGGCCCCCGGAGCCGCACGGTGCAGCCCGTCCGCCCGGCGCGATCTAGAAGCGCGTCTGACCGCAACCGCTCGGCTGGCAACGGCTCCGCGCCTGCGCACGAGGGCGGGGCCGCCCCCCGCGGAGCTGCAGTAACTCCCCGCCGCCCGCAGCGCACTTGCCGCGGCCCTCTCTGGGGTTTCTGCTCCCGGCCCGACACGCGCGGTTTGCCGCCACGAACCGGAGCGACATTAGAGCTTTCTCCAGCCTTGCGAGCTGCCTCGTGGCTTGGAACGACCTTCGTCCCCTTTATGAGGCTGGGAGCAGGGTGTTTTGTAAGTGCAAATTGAAAAGCAACGGCTCCAGGCACTGAAATCCGTCCTTTGGCTAAGATTTTGGCAGGCTTGCTTATTATTGTTAATTCAAGTATCTTCCTATTGTCTCTCTCCTTAACCTTTAGTGAACAACAGAAAAATTGGAAACATGTCTAATTGGGCTGGCTCTGTGCCTGGGTGCCCTGACAATCTGAACACCCTTAGCCTAGGCCCTCTTTTTGAGTCTCAAGATCTCAGCTCTGAATTCTCTTGCAAGGGTCCTTATTTTTATTTATTTATTTATGAGACAGAGCCTCAAGCTATTGCCCTGGGTAGAGTGCCGTGTCATCACAGCTCACAGCAACCTCCAACTCCTGGGCTTATGTGATTCTCCTGCCTCAGCCTCCCAAGTAGCTGGGACTACAGGCACCTGTCACAACGCGCAGCTATTTTTTTGGTTGCAGCCGTCATTGTTGTTTGGCAGGTCCGGGCTGGATTTGAACCGGCTAGCTCAGGTGTATGTGGCTGGCCCCTTAGCCGCTTGAGCCATAGCACTGAGCCAAGGGTCCTTATTTTTTGTTGACTCTTCTACTTCTCTCTGCCGGAGTGTTCCCTAAAGACTTGACACCCGTGGTGTCAAGACCAAATACCTGCGTTTGCCTAGAGCTGCCCTGGGTTCCTGTTTAGTTTTTCCAGTAGTCAAGGAGGATGGAAGGAGTTTACATTTGTACCTAGAAAGGCAATTGTAAGATGCTGGGTAAGTGACATGTGCTGAAGGACACCTTACTCTATGATGTGGAGCCTTTTTGAATTATGAATTTTATATGTTTCATGGCCTTTATTTTTCAAGAGCTGTTTTAGGCTCACAGCAAAATTATTTTATTTTCATTATTACTTTAAACTGTTGTGGCTGGTAAAACAATGTCAAAGATGGACTTTAACTTTGTTCAACAAATGTCATCTGCCATCACTGCCCCTCTGCACGCGCTACACATGCACTTAGATACTAACAACACAGTGACTCAGTGGCTCTGAGAGACTGAATATACAAAGGGACAATGTCCAGACCTTATTCAAAAACTGAACTCTGAGGGCTGGGAGTGGTGGCTCACGCTTGTAATCCCAGCACTCTAGGAGGCCGAGGAAGGTGGATTACCTGAGCTGATGAGTTGGAGACCAGCCCCAGCTAGAGCAAGACCTCGCCTCTAAAAATAGCCGGGCGTTGTGGCAGGTGCCTGTAGCCCCAGCTACTCAGGATGCTGTGGCAAGAGAATCATTTGAGCCCAAGAGTTTGAGGTTGCTGTGAGCTATGATGCTATGGCACTCAACCCCAGGGCCCTTTTTTCCCACTATACAGCTTTCCCACTCTCCTCAGTCTTGGCCAAACGTAAGTGATGGTGTCCAGCTCCCTTGCAATAGCACGCTCTGCATAAGTAGACTTTGCTTGCTCGGATTTGGGTGGTCTGCAATTGTTTTCATATTCCATAAATGCAAGTTTCTGCCTGAGGGAAGGGCTTGTGCAAAGGGGGACCTGGAGGCCAAAGGGACTGGCCTCGTTCAGGTCTGGAAATCAGAGCACCAGGCCCTTCTGTACTACCTCTTGCCTCCATTGCCTGCCCACAGCCCCCAGCCCACTAGGGGTGTGCAGTTGACAACCCTTCCCTTTTCTCTTCCTCTGAGGAATGCAAAGACTGAATGTGAGTGCCTGAGACTGCTACATGGATAACTTTGAGTCTGCTCTAATTTATAAGAAAAGCTTTTATTTTTTACTTTTTTTGAAACAGAGTCTCACTTTGTTGCCCAGGATAGAGGGCAGTGGTGTCAGTCTAGCTCACAGCAACCTCAAACTTTGGGATTCAAGCAATCCTTCTGTCTTAGCCTCCTGAGTAGCTGGGATTACAGGCATCTGCCACAACATCCAGCTAATTTTTCTATTTTTAGTAGAGATGGGGCCTAGCTCTTGCTCAGGGTGGTCTTGAACTCCTGAGCTCAATCAATTCTCCGGCTTTGGCCTCCCAGAGTGCTAGGATTATAGGCAGGAGCTGCCACACCCAGCCTACTGTCATTGTTATTGATGAAATTTCCTTTTGGTAGCTAGAGGTTCTCTGACATTGGACCATTTTACAAAAAAGGCACTCTAGAAGCAGCTTCCTAACTGTTTTCCATGAAGTCGAATTTCTTTCTTTTTTTCTTTCTTTTTTTTTTTTGAGACAGAGCCTCATGCTGTCCCCCTGGGTAGAGTGCCGTGGCATTACAGCTCATAGCAACCTCCAACTCCTGGGCTCAAGCGAGTCTCCTGCCTCAGCCTCCCAAGTAGCTGGGACCACAGGCGCCCGCCACAACGCCCGGCTATTTTTTGGTTGCAGCCGTCATTGTTGTTTGGCGGGTCTGGGCTGGGGGTTCGAACCCGCCACCTTAGGTGTATGTGGCTGGCGCCTTAGCCGGTTGAGCTATAGGCGCCGAGCCCATGAAGTCGAATTTCAATGTCATGTTCATGGTGTGGCTTATGCTGCCACCTTGAATTTAAGCCCTCTTTCCCCTTATCACTGGGGTGCCTGCTGGGGGCAAGCTGGGGGACACAGATGAACTCAGCCTAAGGCCAACACAACAGAAAGAACACCTTCTTCTGCCAAAAATGTGCTGTACCATAACCTTGACCAAGGAAACTTCAGTTCCTCTAGTTACAATTATAATTTATCTAAATTCACTTTTTGAGACAAAGAAGTTAAAATTTCATTCTGCTGGGCAATCTAACGGCATAGTTCCATTCCCTCTCTTACATGGAGGGTAACTGCTCAGATAGTGAGTACATTTTGGCTCCAAATGTGATAGAAATCAAAGCATAACTTTCAGGACCCGTAACTTTAATCAATCATGATTGATCAAAGTGGGCCCCCCTGAAGATAAATTAGCTGGGTCAGTAATAGTCTTAGGAGATCTCAGCAGGAAACAAGGCACCAGGAGTCACAGTTCCTCATCTTCCCTTCTGCTATCTCAGCCTTGAAAGGGAGACACTGCCGAGCACTTGCTTCTGCTCTGATGGATGGGCTGGGGGACGTCATGAAAGGCCTAAGCACCAGTCATGTCCTGGGGCTGCCAGCACTGACCCATCCTAGCAGATAAGGTTCCCACTCCCCGCTCCCTGACCCTCAGTGTCTCCCCATGATGAGAAGGGTGACACTAAGCCAGTGGGTCTCCAACTGTAGCTGTGAAGGACAGATGGCTGGGCCAGCATTTCTGATTCAGCAGGTCAACCCCGAGGTTCCTGACAGTCTTCTTGTTGGGATCCAGAGTAGGGAACAGAGGCTGGGAAATTGGTGCCACTTTTAGTTTTCCTCTTTCCACTCGAGTGCCTGCTGAATGATGCATGAGCTTCTTTTGTTTCTTAAGTGCTGAGTGTGAGAGTGCTTAATTCAGTCGGACTGTGTGGGTAGGTTGGGGGGCGGGGGTCGAAATAGGCGAGGAATGATTAAAATGAGCTCCCAGATGTGATTCTGCAGCACTGATAGCAGTTCTTGAGGAAGTGGCAGCTATTCTAAAAGATGTGTCCTTCTAGGCTTCTCCCCGATAGCCCTTCGTACATGTTTTCCGAAGAGATTCTCCAACTACAGCCATTGGAAGGCTTGTCTGTCTACAGGCTGAGCCCTAAACATCTTACAGGGCAGGGCCTTTGAAAGTTCTATTTGTACCATAAGGCTCAGCAGAGTGCCTGATTCTCAGAAGGCTTTTGTGAATGTTTGTTGGGTGAACAACAAATAGTTTGGAAACTAAAACAAACAAACAAACAAGAACAAAAAAAAAACAAACCACTTTCCCAGAAGTCTGGGACAACAGCTCTTAGGAGGCCATTGAAACTGGGATAATCCGGATGTTTGTGAACTGGCCGGTGAGCGTGACAGTTGCCATGAAAGAAATGAGAACTGGACATTAATAGAGGAGCGAGGAACTCACGTTCCTGGCAGAGGGTTGTGTTGGTGCCTATTTGGGGGCGGTGGCTGTAGAAATAGTGACATCCCAAGGAGGGCACCGCCGCCACGGTTGTATTTGCCGCTTTACGCCCTGTGTGGCCCGGGGCCCAGAACACACTAACTGCTTGACATGTTGCCGTGTTTCTTACTTTTTCCCTCGGCATTATTTGTGAACATTTCCATACTATCGAAGGTTTTCCACATAGTACTATTAGAAATAAAGCTTCAGCGAACATCTTCATACATAAATCCCTACTTGTATTTTTGATTAGTTCTCTGAGAGAAATCCATAAAAGGGAAGTTTTTAGATCAAATGATGCATGTTGCAAAGTAGAGGTGGGTCAAGGAATAAGTTCCCTTGCAGAAGAACTGATGAATTATGACTCTTTTCCTAGTAATGATTACCAAAGTATATGAGAATTGCTGCTAAAATACTTCTTATAACTATTCAAAAATCATTTTGGGGAGCCACCGGTTTAAGTGGAGTCTAGGGCTGAATTAATGGACAGCAAATTGAGATATATATCTAATATATATATCCTATTCTGAGATATCTACATATTTATACCTGTTTGTGTATGTGTGTACGCACGTGTGCAGAGCCGTCCCTCAGTATCTGTGGGGGAACTGTGGATGCCAAAATCCATAATACTCAAATTGCTGATTTTAAATGGTGTATTATTTCCATACAACCCATACATATCTTCCTATATACTTTAAGTCATCTCTAGATTAATTATAATATTTAGTACAATGTAAACATTTGTAAATAGTTGTTACACTGTATTGTTTAGGGAACAGAGACAAGAAAAAAAGCCTATACCCATTCAGTAACAGAAGCAATTCTTTCTTTTTAGAATAGTCTGCATCTTGGCTCAGCGCCTGTGGCTCAAGCGGCTAAGGCGCCAGCCACATACACCTAA